GGGAAAAAAAAAAGAGCAGAACCACGATCGTTCCGGCCCCCAACAGCGCGATCGAATAAAAATGTGCGCCGAGGACGTCTGCGTTAGACGATGCGGTACCGCGAGCGAACCACGGGAATTTCAACCCCCGCTGCGCGACTGACTACGTCCCTTTTAGCGTCCTCGCGAGTCCCAGTACCCTGCACCCTCTCTGTTCACAGGGTATTTCTGTAGTGACAGCCACACGCAAAGTGCCACGCGTTCTATATATGCGTTTCATTGCCTCGGTGCAAGTTGAAACGCCGCAAACGCACACGGGCGTTGTGTAAATTCTTGCTTGGAGGTCCACGGGCTTCGTTCCCTTCTGTTTCAATAGACGGAGATTTTTAATCTCTTGCGCCACGCACGTCGAGAATTTTTTGTCCCAAATATTGCAACATTTTCACTAGTTTTAAGTCTATTTAAATGTAACCCAGGCAAACGACAAGTTTGTTACTACTTGACAATTTCTACCCAGCGACATCATACCGACGAGCTCGAAAGAAAGAGAAAAAAAAGCGGTCACTCGTTATGGTCCGCGAACCAGTTGCCAGCGCACGGGGTTAAACTAGCCGATGAACCGTGTTTTCTTCCACTGTCCCCTTCGTTGCCCGAGGAAAGTTATAATTCGTGCACGAGTCCTTGAACACCGATCCTGTACCCTGTCCATTAGTAAATAAAAGAGAAGACCGCGCCGAGCTACCGAAACCGATCCTCCCGGCGATCTCGGAAATTCTCTACGGGCCTATGGAAGATGTTTCGTCGATGGAATACCGAAATCAAATCTAAATGAAAGATCGGACATCCACGAGTGGTGGCAGGGAGGGTGAAGAAACCTCTTTCGGCGTTCCACGGACGCGTAAGCCGCTGGACGCGACAAGGAGGCGAGCAGAGTGAAGATGAAAAGAGAGAGAGAGAGAGAGAGGGATAGAAGATCAAGGGAAAGGGCTATCTCCGGCGAATCTCAATCTAAAAACTCCGAACATATTTTCTCGAGTTTAGAGCCGGGTCCGGATCTCATTGGTCCCCGTGGAATCTCCGTCTTTGGCTGTCCGTCTTTCTCCTCCAACCTTTTCATCCTTTCCCCTCCTTTTCTCCATCTCTTCTACCTGTTTGCCGCGTTCTTTGAGATCAAAGCCGCGCCGACGCCGGCAGTTCGGTCCGTGGGGTGTCATGCGAGACGGGGGATGGGAGTCCATCCGGTTTAGAAAGGAGGAGAGAAAGCTGTTGATACCATATTCGTTAATATGTTCGCGTAGAGCCGCTGGGGGTAGATACTTTAGGCCGACAAACAGCGTCACGGATGTTAGACACTCGCTTCGATCTTTGCGACGAAACGATCCATCGATAATACATTATGTCACAATGTCACGGTGACAGATTTTCTCGTCAACTTTCTCTTATTGTCTGTAATTTTTAATTTAACTTCCGCACACCGTCGAATATTCCGTGTGCACGCTTAAAAATTTCGAATAACGAAGAATATATATCGACCAAAAAGAACTTGAGAAAGGTCTGTGGACGATACGATCGGCTAGAAGTTGAGAGACAAGGTACCCGGACGTTGATCATCATCGAATTAAGATCGACGGACAATGGCGGACCATGTTTCCCGTGGAAATTTTTAATCTTTTCTTCCTTTGTCGTCTATCTTCATCCATCTGGCATCTGCCGTGTCGTCATTAGGATGTCGCTCGCGCCACCATTCTTTGTGCCTAACCCTCTAATACCTCCTTCGTCTATCCACGTACCTTAATCTGTAATAGCCACGAGCATTGTTTCTATCATTCCTGCGTCATATCGCAAGAGAGTTAGAATGATTCGTGGAACACGTGATTCTAGCGAGGGGGAAAAAATTCCCAAAGCGCCAATCAAGCGCTGGATCTATCGATGATATAGTAGATAACGAAACAAGTGTGAAATAACACCTTGTTTGTTCAACAGCATTCGTATCTTACGATGATCAATATCGGTGAACCCCCCTCGATGTTCTTATCGAACGAACCGGTAAGATGTGCCACTTCTCACGTAGATATCTTCTGTGTATATTAATTATTAATATTGAGCCTCTGACAATATCGAATACATTCCTGAAATAGTCGATCCTTCAAAAAAAAAATTGATTAGATATGTATACGTGTAGCATTGAGTAAATAAAACGCGTTGCAACGTAGTAAAACGTATCGCTGTTCTTTTTTATGCTTATCTCGATCACGATGTTATTTACCGTGCAAATCGATCTAAATAAAACATTTCTGACGCGGAGAAAAAAGGCGATACAAGTTTTTTTTTTTTTTTTTTTTTTTTGAGAGACTGATTGAAAACAGTTGGCGTTGATAGTGGAGCGTAGAAGTGTGGAGAAGTATGGAGAATATTCGAATTCAGGAAATGCTTGTAGACGAAAATTCTAGACATTGTCTCTGACAAAGGATACATCGTAATAAAGCGAAGAATTGTCTTTCAAGAAATTTCTCATGTACATAATCCTATTAATATTTGAACTCTAAATATTGAAATTTTTATAATTTTTAATACGCTTGGACTGGTTTTAAAATTTGAGTTTTCCTACTTTTAAAATGCAACGTTCGTTTTATTTAAAATGCATGACTATACAGCAGATGGTAAAGTGAAGACACTTTTCTTCTCGAAAATGCTATAAATTGTCGTATGTAAAAACATTGAAAAGTCTTTTTCGTGAATTAGAGATTGATACATCCTTTAAAAACACTTGCTATATTATTTTTTTCGCTAATTTATTAAATTTTAGAAATATAACGACGAAAATGTTATTATATAAATTCTTGAATTTTGGTCATGCAACCCTAATATTTAAAGTTTAATAGAATTGCAAGAAAAGATTATATATCTGTCAAGTCTACCAAGGTCGTTATAAAAATTCATTCTAGATTTAGTTACGAAAAGAAATTTTCCATGTTTTCACATACTATGAATTTATAGCATTTACGAGAAGAAAAGTATCCGCTACATAAAGATGAAAAGACATCTTTTGTTAGAACAAAATGAACGATGCGCTTTGAAAATAGAGGTTTCAAGTTTTAAAATAAGTATTATTTAATTAAAATAGTTTCAATATTTAGTGTCCGAAAATGTCAATGTGTCGAAAAATCACAAATATCGTAATAGTTTCCCTGGTTTTGTTCGCGAAAGGCCGATTCGTCCTGCTCGATTTTTCATTTCGCAGAGAATGGCCCATTTATCATGGCACATTCACGGTCGATTGGCGTACATCTGCCTCGAGAACGTCACTTGCCTTTCGAAGACGCTTTCTTTAAACCAGTATTATGTTATGCGTTTGTTTGCGCGAAAGCAAAAGACGAACGATCCTCGTAATCGTAACCTCGACACACGCTACCGTTCGTAGCTTATTTCTACGAACCTTTCACACTTACGAGCAAATTCGAACGACTACGAGTCGTTTGCATCCGTAAACACCAGACGGCGGTCGCACGAATGCAAAAATCGAACGCGCGATGATTATTGACCGCTCATTGATCTGTTCACTCGCACGCAAGGTTGTTTGTCAGCGCGTGAAACGCTGGAGGGTCAGAATAAATTCAAGGTTCAGCCATCGGCGGAAACGGGCTCGACGTGGTTTCGACCAAAGATTCGATCTTCGAGCAAGCGCCCTTATAGAATTTGCAATCGAACGCGATTACGTTTCTTTACGACTGAATTCCGACAGGCTTACGAAACGAGCAGACGTCACGATCGATGGTCCGTAAACCACTTACGTAAATCGAAATTTTTCCTTCGTTAGGATGATCAGAGACTCGGACGTCAGATGTTTACCGCGCACCTCGCCACTTCCACCGAAACTTCATAGAGAGGGATCCGGTTTTATTTGTTCGTCGGGGCACCTCCACTCCGCGTGAAATTCCTCCGTTTTCTGCCGATATCGTCACGAGCCGCGATTGGTACCGTGCACAACGTGTTTTGTTTTCCACGTTTCCGCGTGATAATTATTCCCCTCTATTTTTCTCAATCTAATTCTTCGTGAAATGATCGAAGGGAATCGTTCGACGACAGGTTCAAATATGACGAGGCTTTGATCCAACGAAGAGTTTCGAAATAGGTGACCACCCACGGTGCAATCACGTGCCCCTCGCGATGCTGAAATTTCGCCTTCTGCAAGTGAATTAGTTGGGCCGAGGTCTGTTTACTCAGCTTGCGGGCGTCCATTCGCGCCAACGCGTTAATAATGCGAGCGGCGATAATATTGCGCCGGCTTCTCAAAGATACGTAGGACTTTGTTCTCGTGCATCTGGTGGGGATGTCCCTCGCGAGAAGGATTTTCAAAGGAGTCAGCAAATACTACGTAAGCTCGGCGTGTCCCTCGGGCAACGAGTATCCGACAGGACTTGGTCTTTCTTTTCTTCGCTCGAAATACGAATAAGGGTCCTTAGCGTCTTCGTCGATCGATCAGATTCAATTGCTACTGGCAATTAAGACGTGGCGTGACTTTAATAATCAAACTGCGAACGCTCTACGTTGCTGAAAGATACAAAACAAAAGTAAACGATCTCGCCGCTAATTAAGTATTTGTTTGTGAAACGCAAGTCCGCGATACAGTAACAAAGTAAGACGAACGGTTTGATAAACGGTATTTATCGAAGTGCGTCGTCTCTCTGTCGAGATAAGCAATCGACGATCGATCGTCGATCGTTCAGTAAATTCCAAAATATTGAACGAACGTCGGCGTTGTTTTCAACTCCGACAGCGTGACGAGTTATTATGCTATTCGATGTTGCATTTCATGCAACAACGCGGAGACCTCCTCAGAGATCGTTCTCCGCTTTTGAAGATATCAGTAAGTCTGCTCGTGGTTCGTTCGTCCGCTGACGCGTCGCGCCAGTCTGTTACTGTTATCAACGCCGATGTATTAGTGGAGGCGGAGTGGAGGAGCGTGGGACGTTATCGGGCAACGATAGCGCGGCTATATATAAGGCCGTTGGCTCGTCGTTGACATTAGTTCGACGTTCGTTGTGCTCTTTTAGCAACAGAGAAGACGGCTTTTCCTGTTGCTCGTCGTTCCTCGACTGTCCCTCTTCTTCTTTCTCTCTCTCTCTCTCTCTCTCTCTCTCCTGCTCCTTCCTGATCGATCTCTGGGCTCTCAAGTTCCTCGACGAGGATCATCGATACACGTCTTGGCAGTAGTCGACCACCGTGGTACGCGATTCATCGACGTCCCTGGGGTAACCGCGATCATCGGCGCGTCACCGACCCAACCGGAGGCCGAGATCTTTGCTCCGAGATAAAGGGAGAGAAGTCGAGATTAACGATATCTACGGAGAGATCAAAAGGACGAGATACGAGGAAAGAGAAGCGAAAGGATGGAGGCGGTGTTGCTCTAGCAGTCGGCAGGAAGCAATCTTCGAAAGTGTTTGACAGACAGCGATAGGTGTTGGAGAGTTGTTCCGTGAGCCACGGAAGAAGCTCGAGCTCGATTCGATAGAGATTGCAGAGCGGCCCTCACGAGGAAAGGGTGCTCGCGTTTGATGAATCCGTCGCGGGCCAACCTAGTTATGTTCTCGATCGAGTACAGCAAGCAATTCCTGAGTTACCGTATACTCAAGTCGAACCGGTTCAAGTACATCTGACGATACGGACTCGGACTAAGTGTGATAAAAGGGTGCGCGCTACGGCGAGAGTGTGTATGTGAGTGTACTGAGCCGTTCTCGACTTGTCGTTGGCAACGGTGTTCAGGGAAAGGAATCGGAAATATAGGCAGGATCAGGAGAGAGCCCGCGAGCCGGCAAGACCTGGAAAGTCTTGTTCGCGATTTTCACCGATGCGTCGATTTTCTCTGTTCGTTACCGATTGAGATAAACGAGGCGTCGCCTTCGAGACCCGTTGATAACACGACACCATCGAAGGCGTTCGAAATCGCGAAGGGAGGGAATCCGATTCCGATCAACAGGTTGCACGAGTCGATTACACCCCGATAAAATATAAACGAACCGATGAAACCAAATTATACTCCTCAAAAATAAACGGAACGACAGAGGTGACGACCGAAATTCTCTCCGCGGAGAATACGAGCGTTCCACCATCTTTTCCTCAATTTTTCAAATCCATTGACAAATCCTTCCGTTAACGATCAAAAAATTCTCACTGATCGAAACGAAGAAGAAATTTGCACGTCTGTCGATCGAGTCGGCGAGTTCGCCAACGTATATAAATTAAATTAAAGGGGAGAAGGTACAACAAAGAATAAAAAAATGATCGTTTACGTTTCGGGTAGAATGCCAAGCCACGTTGCTCCGTACGGCTCCATTCGTTATCCGAGCACACTGCTGGGCGCGGTACCGGGATTATACAGCCCGATTTCCGGTTATTCGACCAATCCCAACTCCAACTACTACGGGAGCTTCAGCCTGCATCAGCAACCACCGCTGGACCTTCCGGTTTGGCCACGAAGCATGCCGGTGGAGGAGGAACTTGCAACTACCCCGTCGACCGCGATACCGGGCTTGAGAGTCTCGCCGGATGGCTTGCCAAATGGTGGACCACCGAGTCCAGCTCACAGCGACTCGGATGCTTCTAGTTCCAGCTTGGAACTTGGATCCATTCGACGTGGCGAGAATGCTCAACTAAAATGCAGGTAAATCACGCACTGCCATCTCTTTTCTTTTTTAATCACTTGCGCTGGCAACCGATTGCGGACCATAACGAGTGACCAATAATTCGCCGCTTTCTTTTTGTCACACGTCGGTATGATATCGCTGGATAGAAATTATTGAGAAGTAATAAATTTAACATTTGTTTTGCCTGAGTTATACTTAAATATATACTTAATATAATATATAATATATATATTTAAGATAATATAATATATAATATAAATATAAATATAATATATACTTATATTAATATAATATATTACTATATATTACTATATAATTATATAGTAATGTTATATATTATATATATAATATATATATAGTAATATAATATATATAGTAATATTATATACTATAATATATATATAGTATTATATTACTATATAATATATACTTAAATATATATGCGTAAAACTGAGAAAATATTGAAATTTTGGGACAAAAAATTCTCGACATTTCACGTCATTCCAGCGCAATAGATTAACAGGTTGGAATTTCGTAAAAAAAAAAAAAAAAATACGTTTGAAGGAGGAAAGAGGTAAAGAGAGCCTGAAATGTTTTTGAGACGATGTTTCGCGAAGTTGTAAAGATATTTCTCCAAAAATATTTTCGGTCACGTGTTTAACCAAAACATAGTGTGCAGATCGAGTCGTTATCTAAATTGAGCACATTAAGTTTATCTTCGAATCTGTATTTCGTTATCAGAAAACGGACGGCTTAACGATGAGACACTTCTTATCCCTCCCCATCCCGTCTAGCGAACACGCTTCGGGCAACAAACAACTCTTCAATGTTTCCGTTTCATTTGCGTTTTTCACGGGTTTGACCGATGGTGGTCACCGAAGGCTTGTTTCCACGCGAATCGCGCGACTCTCTTAAGTGATGCTAATTTATCTGTGGCGCGCGTGCACGGTCGTATTCGCAGCACGCGTCCCATACTAGCTCTAACCAGTTTCCCGTGTCCGTGATATCGAGCATCCTGGCTTTCTTTCTATATCGTTCCTTCTTTTTCTCGCTCTAGATTCAACCTAAAGTTCCTTATCGGTTGCATCGTCACAGCCTCTCTTTGTGTTTCTCTCAGAATTCACGAAAGTAAAGATCGATCGACGAAACCATCGTCAACTTCGGCGTATTTCAAGAATTCACAAAAATTAAAAAAAAAAAAAAAGTAAAGACGAAAGATAGCAAGAGATGCTGTTAAATGTATCTGTATGTTTACAATAATTCCGGAAGAAAAAAAAGTCAGCTTCCGATAACCCTGATTGCACGACAAGATCACACTCGTAGACTGTTGGATTCACACTTTTTTTACGAAGATTTCGGCGCGAAATATTTATCATGGCAAAGGCTCGTTACGTGCTCACGCTTTGCATGTGGTAGCCACGTGCACTCGGAAACGTCTGCTTCGTTATCGCCGTCAACAATCGTCATTGTGTCGACGTTGGTCGTAATCGCGACGACTCGTACAAGTCGTTCGTCTTCCTCGAAACTCGATAAGCGCTAATTCCCCCCGTCAAGTTCCAAGATCAAGAACGCGAGCCTGAAAAGAGCGAGGAAATTCTTCAAAGCAATTACGCAAACGTACGGAACATCGGTGCCGAGGGATTTAGTCTCTACGTCACCTTGATCCACAACCTTTTACGCGAGCATGAGGCCGTTCGCGGAATACGGCGCCGTTTGCTGTGATAGCATCAGAGCCCGGTATGTCTAGATAAACTGGTGTCAAGCGACGCCAATTGCACAACGGACGGAATTGGTATCAATTGGTAGGTTGAACGGACGTTCTTGACGCAAATCGCGCGCCGATATTTCAGTTGAACGTCTTTCAGTCCGTTACTTACGTTTCCATGCGACGATAATGGTTCACGTGATAGTACGCTGTTTGCGCCGTGACCTTGAAAACCATGTAGGGCGGGGGGAGCGGAGGTTGAAACTAGTCGATTGCGAAGCGGACTAGACTTCCCGAAAGTTTTACAAATGTTTTTCCTCGATTCGAAATGCATCACGGAGCATTACTTTTTCCGCGCGTATGGTTATATTTAGATATTCTTGATATACGAGCGAAGGAGAAAATAAGTAATATAAATAGATCGATTGACGGGAAGAACATGAGATTCGAGATTATTAGCCTTAAACGATAATCATCTTACGGACAGTTCGATTGATAGGGACGATCGAGCGATCAAAGATCAATATCCTTAAACGTTTACTATTCTCGTGCGATCGTTCAATACGTACGATCTTGGTTACGATCTCGATGCTTAAGAACAACACAGCAAGTCGAATTAAAATCGTATTGGCGAGACCAAAGGCTAACATGCGTCTTGTTCCAATTCGCAGATGGCAAAATTGTGGTCGTTGGTTCACGTCCTTGGAACAGCTGGCAGGACACGTTGCGCGACTCCACGCTGCGCCGGGACCACGCGGACTTTTCTACTGTGGTTGGGAAGGGTGCGCCAGAGGTGAACGTGGCTTTAACGCTAGGTAAAACTTCTTTTTTTTTTCTTCTTCTTTCCCTAGTAGAATTGGAAACCGTCTTGAATCTTATCTCGCTACTTCTTTCCGTTGTCTAGGTATAAGATGCTGGTTCACGTCCGAACGCACACGAACGAGAAACCACACCACTGTTTCCAATGCGACAAAAGCTTCAGTAGAGCGGAAAACCTCAAGATTCACGCCCGTTCTCACACGGGTGAACGGCCGTACGTCTGCCCCGTCGAAGGCTGCAACAAAGCTTACTCCAACTCTTCCGACAGGTTCAAGCACACCAGGACTCATGCCGTGGACAAACCTTATTGCTGCAAGGTTCCTGGCTGTCCGAAAAGGTACACCGATCCCTCCTCTTTGCGCAAGCACGTGAAAACCTACAGACACTACGTGAACAACAATGACAAGGTGCAAGAGAAGAGCTTCGAGGAGAATAACTCGCAGGAAAAGGCAAGATTTGACACGGTATCGCCGGAGAAGCAGAGCAGCAGTACTCACTCTGAGTCGTCCGACAAAAAGGACAGCAGCATCGAGAGCAGCATGTCAGGATCGAGTCCGAAAGCTAGCAACAGCTTCGAGGAGCAGAGGAACTTCGTCGAGTGGAACAATATGTACAATCTTCAAGATCAACGCAAAGAACAGGAGCAGATCACGCCGAGGAAAACCTACGAGCAGGAAGTGAAAGTCTATCCAAGGGTTTACGACGAGAATTATATAATACCAGAGAGAATTCAGGTTAATCCTATGTACGTTTCCAACAACTCGATCATCAAAGAGAGTCCACCACAGTCGGTGCAGTCGGTTTCGCCGCAGACCAGTCCGCATCACGTCCCGGACACGTTGTCTCGCATCGGGATGCAATCAACGCCCATTAAGGTCGAAGAAACGATCGAATGCCCCAGTAAAATCAGCACGGTCGACTACAGGAACATCGAGTCCATTATCAACAGCACACCCTGCAAAAAAGAAAACGTCGTCATTTGCGATCCAGTGAGACATTCTGTGATAAAGCGAGCGGAAGATTTAAAAATGGAGGTGGAGCAAATACCGACCAAGGAAGATATCTGCAAAGACACCAGCGATTGCTGTTGCCGTCACAAATGCTGCGTGCACAGTAACGACAACATCATGGAGAAAACGAAGATCTTGTCGGATTTGATCCTCAAAACGCAGAATCCACTGTTCAGACACCTGCTTGGCACGGTGGATCTGCAATACGGGCTGCAGAACATGTGGGGCAACATCGTGGACACGAACAACACCTGCGGACAAGATCTACGAGTTAAGAACGAGAACGTGGTAGAGATGGAGCAGGATCTTCCATTGGATTTAACAATCAATAAGTAAGTAATTTCAGGTAGTAGTGAAGTTAGCTTTTCAAGGGGTAAAATTTGAACGCTCAGGATTCTGCAGGCATACATTTTCTCTGCGAATTGATACGTGTTTTTGATTTTAAAAACGTTAAAATCGGCTTAAGCGACCGACCGTGGCCGATGTTCGAACATTATTTTTGGGGGTCGTCCTGGAACGTCGAGGATCTCCGATCCTCTTCAGAGAGATTATAAAGATAATCTGAAAACTCGTAACTTTTTATTTGATATTATTGTAAATCCAGGACGATATTGAATATTAATAAACATGAATTTCTACTCGAGCTACGGACGGTTATTAGTTCCGCAATTTTATATCAAATTAATTTTTTTGAGATTAGTGAGGAAGATTCGAGGATTATTATTTTTTGCATAGTTTATTTAATTCAATGATAATTAGAAACAGTTGGTTTATAAAAATCGGGGGAGATGAAATATACCGGTGAGAAGGAAGATTATTATTAAAGAAGAGAAAGTTGTCTGTTTTCATTAGACTGTGAAACCAAATATATTATAATACGTTAACGTATGTCATATGAATAAAGTCAGTCAAAGTAGAAACAGTTTCATGTCGAATGAGATTTGCTCAATCTTAATTCGTTAGTAATTCCTTTAGCAACGTAATTAGAAAACCTCAATTTTAGATTTACGCGTAGTTTGATCAATCGGCTAGAACAAAACTTTCATCCATACTTGTACATACATACAATGACATCTTCGTATCCTCCACAGTATTAATTCTATGGTTTTCCACGCATATCGAAATTCGTGGATAGCAAACACTATTATATGCATATATACATCTATTTCAATATTAAATTATAATATAAATTTATTAGTTTATTATACATACTTGGACATTACTGAAGATGCTATTAATGCGTGTTTCAAAACTTTTGTTCTGATATTCTAAATCAATCGAAAATGTTACATTTTATATGGATTAAGCGACTAACAGATAATTACTTATAATGCCTGACTACTATGGATAATAACTAAAATGGTCACGCAGCTTGATACATATTGATTAATTTATTAAATTCAGCAAAATTATGAATAAAGTTATAGATTTAAGTTTTAGTCACTAATTAAAGTGCACGATTTGTCGTTATTCACAATGGTCGGACATTATAAATAATGTTTTATCAAAATTAATCACTTAATCCATAACATATAAATGTATTAAATTGAGTTTTCCGTAAATATGTCAAACTTGTTAGCTTAGACAGACTTGTTAAAGATAGATTATGTATTGTAACGCAATTTTTTCAAATCGTGGTCAACCTTGAATGAAACTGTGGATACGAAAATCTTATTGTATATTAGACCAAAATCTAACAAGCAAATGAGTAAAGTAAACGAGAATATGAAAGGTAAATGTTTCATAAAATCAAATAACGTTAGTTGGATAGATTGTTGTATCATAATGCGTTTGAAAGAAGTAATCCGGTATGTTATGTTTAACATCTATGTATAATATGTATATAAAGATGTGTTATGTATAAACTATTCAAGATGTTCGACGTATGAAGGAAAGTACGTGCGTTTCTACAATGAAAAGAGCATGTTTAACGACATTAAACTATTCAATAAAAACATTATTTATGTAAAAAAATGTTTATTTTTTCTCAGCATGTAACAAGTTCTATTTCCCCTTCAATCTCGAAAGTATTATAACCGTATTTTGATAACATTGGTGAAAGAATATAATATGATAGTCGTTTATAAAATTTTTCACGCTTATAAAAATTTTTCTTTTCAAGCATTGTTTAAACAGATTGATTCGATATTGAAACCGTTCATCTAATACATGGAAAATTATCATAATTAATAAATGTTATTTTTAGGCGAAATAAAGTTTCTAAATAAAAATATGTATAATTCATAATAGAGAAAATCAGTAATGACAGAAAGTAGATTTAAAATAAATATGGCACCAATTTTACAAAGGTGCAAAATCTTTGTTGTTAGTTGCATATTAAAGTCTTGCAACCATATCATCAGTGATAATATCACTTACGTTGTCAAAAATACACAAGCAAATTTCTTTGCTATATATAATTCTCACAATATACTATGACTCATTAAGAGTTCAGACATTCCATCTTTAATAATTTTCAAACTTTCTAGATCGGAGTTTATTGTTGCTATAAGTTGTGCCATGCCTTGTTGTTCCATTGTTAGGTACTATGAATTAAAAAAAATATATATATATATAAATTATGCGTGTATTTTTCATTTAATCCTTTCGTAAATATCTTTTTTACATACCGCTTTTATGTCATCCTGTGCTATGGGGTCCATCGCATACCTTTCTTGATTTTGTGTGTCTATATGATTTCTCATTCTCAATTGAGAAAGCATTTCGCTAATTCTACCTTTGAATTGAGTTGGAGCACTGACTTGGGAGTGCATAGATTCGAACCTACGTGTTAGAACTTCTTCCTCCGGTTGCAATGACAACCCAACTTTACGTGTAATTTCTTGGCGTACCAGCACCTGAAGAAATATTTATAATTATATATATATAATAATATGTATAATTAATTATCAGAAAATAATTATCAGGAAATACATTTACATACTTGTAATACCCTGTGTTGAAGTTCTAACAAAGTTCTACGATGCTCTTTTAATCTAGCTTGTATTGCCGAATGTTGTCTCTGTAATTTTTGTATTTCATCAGCCGCCATATCTAGGAAATTTCTGTGCCTTATCGTTTCCTCTCCCTGACATTTTAATCTATGTTTAACTTGTTGGAAGCCAATCATTGGTACAGGAATATAAAGTTCTGGATTAGGATTATCCAGTTGAGCCTGCTTCCATAATCGCGGATCGATCGAACAAGGCGGATTGTCTAAATATTCTTTAAGCTGTACAGGATCCAGTTTGACTAAAGGTAACATATCTTCTACGCCATTTTGCACCAATTGTTGTTTTTGCATTGGTTGCGATAAATATGCAACTAACTCATTGGCAGGTATTTTCCTAGGAGCTCCAGTAATTCCCTTTTCAGTGACAAAAATGGTCACTTGACTTTTGTCTTCCCCAATTGCTTTAATGTTGTCTATTACAAGCGATAAATTAGGTTTGTTTCCCAAAACATTATTCATAAAACCGATCAATTGCGCTTCACCCTCTTTAACATCTTTTTTCTTTTTACTGAAACAAAGTACGACTAGACCGTCGTTATTATCAGCCTCAGGCATTCGACTGTATCCAATAGCTTTGAATCTACATAACGGGTTTTCTTGATTAAGCTCTATAGGTGGTGCATTCATATAATAGTAAGCTTTCCCAGTTCCCCATAAAGCTTGTATAAGGTTCCATCTTGCGATAATATTATCACGTTCATCATTATACAATTGACAATTAAATACAGCATTGTATAATGCTTCAGATATAGTATTAACAGGTTGTTGTGGTTGCTGCTGTTGTTGGAACTGTTGCTGATTTTGTGCTAAACCAGATCCGAATCCTGTAAATCCTGTGCCTGTATAAAAAAATTTAATAAAAAAACACATTAAAAAAAATATATTGATAAAAAAAAAATACCAACCTGTACCAAAACCACCAAAAGTGGTTGTAGTTGTGGTTGTTGGTTTTGTGCCAAAAGCACCAAAACCTGTAGAAGTACCAAAAGTTGGAGCTGTACTTGTAGTGCCGAACCCTCCAAAAAAGGAAGGCGCGGAGGTAGTTGTTGTAGTTCCAAATCCACCGAAACCACCAAAGCCTAAAGAGGATGTTGTAGTGGTCCCAAACGTACCAAATGCACTAGTAGGGGCTGATGTGCTACCAAAAGTAGAAGTAGTGCCAAATGCAGTACCTGATGAAGCAGGTGTACTTCCAAATACTGGAGCTGTTCCAAAACCAGTGGTAGAAGTAGCACCAAAGGTAGGTGCTGAAGCAAAACCACTTGTCGATGTGTTGCCAAAACTAGATGCAGCTTGTGTTCCAAAAGTAGTACCACTTCCAAATCCTCCTGTTGCTGGAGTTGAAGCAGAACCAAACAGACTTGGTGCTGAGGTAGCTGGTGTACTAAATCCAAAAGATGGTGTTCCAAACCCTGCTAAAAAATTTAGTTTTTCAAATGAGATGCATTTAATAACAAAACAATAATTTGTTACATATTTCATAATGCATAACTATACATATATATACTACATATGTATATACTATTTATATGTGTATATATTATAAATAAATGATGCACCTGAAATAAATACATAGATTATGAAATAATAAATATATAGCCTGAAATTTTATAATTTTCATAGCTTTTGTTTTCATTTACTTCACAACTTGAAATTGCTTCAAGTAGAAAAATCAACATATGACGGAAATGCCTTGGAGAAGATCGCAATAATAATTTACGCTGTGTTCGTTCGTAAAATTTAATTGCGCGCGTTAGATACATTGGAAAAATCACATAACTCGTGTCCGTATGATCAAAATTTACTAAAAAATTTTGAATTGCGATATAACTGGATAGCATAAGACAACATGTCATATATAAATGAGCAAAATCAGGTAGGACCATAAATAAGCAAAAATGTACAGAAAATTTAATTTATTTGTTGCAATTAAATAGGAAAGCAAATATGGGCAATTTGCTCACAAATTATTAAAAGTAGCTTCAATATCTGGTAGAAAGGTTGCACTTCGCCGTGTTGACCAATCTTCTGATGTTTCTACTGAATTGTTACATGAATTTGGTACTACAGATGTAGCAATCGGGGTATATTTTGGAATTTGTATATATTTTTTCATATATAGTTTTATAATGTGAATCATAACTTATTATAAATTATATGTTTCATTATTATTTACAAAGGATGTTACAACAGAAGTTATGATAACAACAATGGGTAAAATACCAAGTGAAATGTTTTATTTAGAAGACACACCAGGTACTATAGTTCCACAAAGAATACAAACAACATCTACATTTTCAAAAGCTATGATGGAAACAACAGAATACCATCGGTCTGTAGAATCTACTAGCCATTCACCAGTTTTAGTTGCTCTATTAACTGCTCTCTTGATAATATTATTATTATGCTGTATCACGGCATGTATCGTAACTAAATCAAAGAGGACAAGTAATTTCTTTAGTAAAGGAAGCATGGAGTGTGAACCAGGATGTACAGGCATAAATCAGCCTTTGCTAGAAAAGTTTTCAAGCACCACAAATAAAACTAGCGTCAGCTCTTTGAGAAACCAAAACTGACTTGACATGAGTCTGCATAAAATGTGCGATTATTTCTTATCAGATAAAATCCTTGAGGAATTATAACGTACGACATAGCAATATAATACAAACTGATTATGTTATGAGTAGGCTTTGTGATGAAAAGGCACATTAAAGAATGAAATGTTCATTGAATTAATTCAGCGACTATTCAAAAGAATCAATTTTACTAAAAAATTACGGAACAAGCGAAATCTCAAATCAATAGAAAACGAAAAAGCCGCAACTTTGTTAAAAATACGTTTGGGAAAGTCACATGTAACGAAAAGACAAACGAAATGTGACTTAACCTATAAAACCAAGGAACTTACCTGGTTTTACTGGTGTCGCCGTAGTAGAGGCAGCACCGAAGCTAAATGTAGGAGCGGGCGTCGTAGTTGTTCCTCCGAACCCCGTGCCAAATGACATTTCTCAAATTAAACTAATTCTATCGTATTTATCACGAAAACAATATTTACCGCGCGCGCCTTATAATTTCGTATCAACGACAGTATAACCAATATGGCGGCTGACATGCGCCGCGAACGCATGTCTTCGTTTCCGTGCAGTCCTACATCACGTGATGATATTGAATGCTAGCTATTCAAGTTTGCACCATCTAAATCACAAAACACGGCACGATCTTGCTCTTAAATTATAACTAAGTTTATTTGATTTTTTTAATACAACTGTATCTCATTTGTACTACATATTTTTCATAATCGTCGTATGGATCTATGATGTATTAAATATACATATTTCTTTGAGAATGATACGTTTTGTTATTTTACATCTCCCCAAAAAACAAAATTCATTTGCCTTCCCGTAAACTTGTTAGAGTTTATGATAACAAAGCAATAATATATTTACGTGAATTATTTGTTTTCGTTTTTAAGTTCGAAAACGTATCGTACATACAATTATAAAACTGTAACACAGCAAAGATCCGTAAACGATTAATGGATATCCGAAGCGGACGCTTTTTTTCGACAAGCGCAGGGTCATCAATAACAGATGCAATATGAATTTTTAACGAATTTTATAATTTAGAAACTTAAAAATAAATATATTTCCATATTTCCTAACGTATATATATATATATATATATGTGTGTATATATATATATGATACTTTCTTTAACAGTTCAATAAGACTAATGTATATCGTATAATAATATTGTAGTCAAGCGCAATTCGCGCGATAGTCGATCGAAGAAGTATAGTAAAAAATACGTAGATGAGCGTGACAATGATTATACTAGAAACGATTCAACAGAAACGTTCGTAAAATTTCTCTAAACATCATGTATACGTAGAGTGGCAAAATTGAAATGCACGTACGAAAAACTTGTGCTTCGTGGCTTATCCAATCTACGTTATACAGATAAGTCGTCTTGTGTACCGATAAAATTTGAATTGCAGTCAAATCACATTATCTTCCCGTTGATAATGTAAAACGGTTTCTGAATACAACAATTTTCAAACACTTTAATATTCACGTTTACAAAGTTTAAACTTTTGGCTTCCGTCAAAAACAATCCTCAAATATATCTTCTTTGGTATAACATCTTGTGTCGACTAACAATAAGTCGTGACATGAACTCAATTGCACGACATTTGTAAATGTTTTCTCAAGCAGTCCGTATGTCTGTTTAAAGAATTTTGAAAAAAAAAAAAAAAGGGATAGAAACATGAAAGCTACTGCGTCCCATTCGGGAAATCACACTCCATTAACACAAGTCTAAGTCTTCTACAGATTCACGCTATGCGTGGCGAAATAAATTGGCGATATAATGATAATTTCCGTCGCTATAAACACGATCCTCGGTTTGTTTCCGATTAGAAAATAAGAACATGCAGTTCCATCACGCATGTGTACATTTAATTCTAGTTTTAGAAGTGAGAGAGAAATAGAGCGTTTCGCCATGAGCTTTTAGCTCGTTCGTATGTTCATATGCTCGTATTGCTTTTGTCATCCTAATCGACGGGGCTCGTGCGTTCAGCCAACCTGGTCCGTTTCTAAAAAGAAGAATTTAAAAACGATAATCCTTCAGATATCATACGGGATAAGCGTAGAAAGTTTCCTTGCCCATTCATAAATAATTGATATTTCATTTGACTCAGATAACCCGAGCACCTTTACATTTAGATCAGTCATCAAAGGGTGCAAGATCTGAAAGATTAAACGTTAGTTGGCCATAAAGTACGTCGATCCACCTCATCAAGACTCCCAAATTATTTATGAATGGCGCAGTATTTGAAGCGTTTAAATCTCGTTAGCACGTTCACTGTTTTGCGTGTGTGTACCATGTGTGTTGCCCGCGATTGAACATTAATTCTTGCTAAACACCAATTTCGCGTGCCGTGCAACATTTCGTACAATTTGGGAGCAGACTTCATGAGGTTCACATCGATTCGCTATCTCGGAAACGACCAGGTCATTGTCTAACGAGATTTAACTGCAATCGTTACAAATCATGCGTGAACCATATAAAAAAATTTAGGCCTGGAGCAAACGAAACGTCCGTAATGCCAGTTTGCGCTTTGGTTAAGCGGATCGCGGTTTAAATTATACAATATCCAATATGAATTGAATGATGTATCTCGTGTAGAACGTATAATTCGAGATATTTGCAGATGAACGGAAAATGTTCCTTTTGTCTTTTCTTTTCTCTTTCTTGGACCCGTGTAAACCGTTCGCGAAGAAATTCGGATCATTTTGCATTATCACGTTGGCGTTTTGTACCAAGAGAATGCGATAATTCCATGTCATAGTTTGCATAAAATATTCGAAAGTCAACAGGAAATATTTTACGAAGTGTTTGGTCCGTGTTGCGTTAATCAATTTTCATGCGACATTCTCGTCGAACACCGATGAACCTCGGTATTCAAGGGAACGTGATGCAAATTTGTCAGTGATTTAATAAAGAATTGATTCGTTTGATAAAACTTCTCTGTACAAATATCCGTATAATAATAAAATCTCGATAGTCTCGACATTTGCAACTGTGCAACAGACTCTCTCGACATAACGAAAAAGATCGTTGTAAACGAGAACGGCGCGCGAGAGTCGTAGGCCAACTTGCGCGTATGGATCTGTTTTATACAGAGAGCTACTAATCGCACTACGCATACGCACACTTATTACTTTGCTTGGTATATACATACATCCAACATTTATACGTTTAGACACCGAGTACATAAATAGAGAGTGCGAGAGCCTCAGGAGGAGGCTGCACATTGTACGAACTACGAATTTTTGGAAACAAAGCTGTCTCGAGTTAACGAGTCGCCTGTTTGCTTGTCAGAACTTCGGTGTGCCGTTTTCCTGCGAAGTTTCGTTAAAAATTGCGACGAGTGTCGCATCGCGACGGCGTGCGATATAAATATAGATATTGTTTGCAGAAAAGAGGCAGAGAACGAGAAAATACATCGCGTGATTCGACTTTTTAAAAAAGACTTAAAAATAAACATCGTTATAAGAGAGAAACAATGTAGGTACTTTTATCCATTTAGGTCCCACTTTTTTAAAATTGATTAGAGTTCCTGCCCAAAAGGGCGGAACTTAACGCGCTACGAATCTACAAATACGATCCTGAAAACTCAAAGTCAGAAGCAGAAGCTCGAGATGATTGTGTATAAACAGAAATACCCCCACCGATTGCGCTATCTGAAGTCCCCTCGCCGGTTACAAAATCGGCGACTATCAACGAATCCTTCGGAACGTTTCCGCTGCCACCTTTCAATGCATCTCGCTCGGCCAATGTCTGTTTTAGAAGTTTGATCTTCTCTTCTTTCTGAAATGATGTTTTCTCGTGATAACTAATAATTTTTAATTTAATCTTATCTTCAACGCTGAAATGTTTTCTCACCGCGGCTATGAGTTTCTGAAGCTCGTCGTTCTCGCTGAGAAGCTTCTGATATTTCTCTTCGTCTTCCTTCGACATACCCACGTCCGGGTTGTATTTAGATTCAGCCTTGTCTTTTGGATGCCTAATCACCTCGATTACTTTAGGCACAAAAATTAGCGCCATGCTTAGAAAACAGCAGAAAATAATGGCGAGTGCAACGAAAGCGAAACTAGCGTCTTGCTGGCTGGCAATCACCATCGTCACCGGAGCTGTGATCAAACAAAGGACAACCACATTGTATATCGACATCCCGACGTATCTAGAATCATTGATCTGTTTAACTTTGATGCTTCTCGTTTCGTATGCCAGAAATAATCCGAACACCAGAATGAGCCCCTTGTAGCTGTAAATCAAACCTGAAAGAAGGACGGAGAAAATGATTTTCGCTTGGCAATCGCATTTCTACGATTTGCGACGAGCTTACCAAGCCAAATGTTATTGTGTATGCTCTCGCAATGTTCCAATTCGGGTCTAATTCTTGCATCGTCATCGCCAAACGGAGATAACTCCAGCGGGAAGGTCTCTATTTTCCTTTGTAAAGGATCAAGCACTTGCCACGAGACTAATAATACTATATCCATCACCAATAGTCCGCTTACCATCGTGTACAGCTTCCACGGTTGAACTTTCTTCTGTATGGACGAAACTTTTTGTTTAGCCATGAACAACTAAAAAGAATCAAAAATACGTTAAAGTTGAGGGTCGTACGAGCAGGATCTGCAAACCATGCAGGGACGGGCACACTGCGTGACTAGAAAATTAATTAAATCGTTAATTGGCTAATCGATCGTACGTAATTACGGAGCGGACGGAGTTTCTAAAACGATATCGAACGATCGAGCGCGTTAATTTGTTTCCTCCAATACTTACTTTCGCTTGGTCGGCTTTCGTTTTTGTCGTAAGCCTGTGGACCCGCCACACTTTACTAAACATCGCGCCGAAAGCAAGGGTGAATCCTGTGGATAGCATCCAGGCTCTAGCTTGGCAGATCGCTGGATATTCCCACGGCGCAATGAATCTACCATCGATTCCCAATAGAAACACCGACACGAAACATGCTATCACCCCAACCAGCATTATTGTATTACACACAGGATGTGACGACATTATAACTCTAGAAGGGAGAATGTCAGTGTGTCTCAAATATTTGAAAAAGACGGAAATAGATATGGAACGAATGTGTGTACCTTCTGTGCCTATTCCATATATTAAAAATGATTAGTCCCATCGCTATTAAGATTCCCACCGAAGATATAGTCCCCATGCAAATAAACAACGGCAACGAGACCGTCCGCAGAACAGTTCTTATGATAGTCCTGTCTTGAGGTACTTTACCACCGATCCATCTTTCCATGTTTCTCCAAGTCAGATTGTCACTTTGCGTATCATAATATCCCAACTTGACGTACTTTCCATCGATCACTTGCTCGATTTGGGTCAATGCGATTCTGTCACCTTGCGAACTAAATGCAACGAAACCCTATAGCATATATACGTGATCGATTAAAGATCGGCCACTTGAAATAAGAAGCCTTAGTTTTATTTCTACGAGTCACGTACAGATACTCCTAGAAACTGAGTGGAATTGATCGCCGAGTAAATTTCGTCTGCTATCTCCTTGTCGGTGTAGGTGAAGTTCTTTAGACTTTTCCCTTGCTTACTCAGCTTCTCCATTGTCTTATTAAAAGCTGCGGTTCAAATATAAAAAGATATAAAATTTTGCTGTAAAAATTCAGTTACTCTCGTAACTGATAGTACAATTCGACTTCCTACCTAATGCCACCGACCAAACGGCGTCGTATGCCAGAGGCGCCTCTTGATACCCTTCAGGGTAGCGATTGTTATCAATGTCGTATCCATCCTCTTTCAGCATTTTATTTAATCGCTGTCTGAAATCCTCGGAAGTCATTCCGCTAATTGTCGTGTCGTTATTTTGATTCCACATGAGAGCTTCCGTCGTTAAGTGTCCTTCGGCAGCGAGCCTCATTTGATCTTTCGTGCACGCGATTGCCTCCTTGTCCAAATTCACCTCGAACCAATTGTCCTCGTACCAACCGATGAAGAACCACACGTAGCTTTTACCGTATAGCTTTTGTTGATACAATTCGCAAAGCACTCTTCTCGCAGCCACAACGTAAAACAGACCGACGATGATTCTAGCATCCTGGCGACGCAGATTTCTCACCGCATCTGACGGATCGGACAAAAAGCTCTGACGTGTGACTATTTCTATTCCTGCCTCCTTGCAACGTGCCTCTAAATCTTCTACAGTCTATAATATAAGAGGAGAACAATTAAAAGTTATCCACTACCGTGTTCGACAATCATAATAATCTTACAGATATGAACACTTCTTCGGCTTGCTGCAAGATTGCCACTCGAGACCAACCAAATTTTTGTAACAATTTGATTCTCGTGGGGTTGTGCACTGTGGCTGACGGGTGTGTTCTAAAAAGTGTCGGGAACCGATTCCGATCCGATAATGCAGGCGAAGATGCACCATAACATAACTGAAAATCGTAAAAAGTAAATTCATTTCTGTATTTGTTTATTCAACACGTTGACTGCCACTTACAAACTTAGGCGTTTCATCTAAAAGAAAAATACATTAAATATAAATTATAAGATATCATATTGCAATAAAATACGACGAAAGCGTTTTATATTATTATCTAATTATTTATATTATTTTAAATTCTTTGTTAATGATATTCGTCTTAATTGTTCCAAAAATATTTATAAAAACGATGACTACCAATGATCATTGTAGCAGTCGACGTACTAAAGAAGACATTCTCGACTTACCACCACTAGATTCCACATTTTCGCTGCCTCAGCGACAGTCGTACAGACGGTACTACATCCGGCTAACAACATCAACTTGTGTGGCTTATAATATAACAAATTGTACATCACTGAGGCACCGAGTCCCGGCTCACACTGAAAAGAAACGCAGTCAATTAAAAATTAAAATGAACAGTTGTCACTTTCTTATGACTTTTTTTCTCAAAACTTTATCGAACATGTATACCTCGCTGTCGTTTGAGTGAAGCTTCAGTATGAATCCAGGTAGCAAATTTTTCTCATGGTTAACATCGTCTAAAGCCAAGTTCACCGCTGGCATGCAAGCCTGTTGAACGACGCACGGCATTAACTTTTATTTATTTCAAAAAGAAAAGAATACAATAATTATTATTACTCACCTGGCCACCCTGCCATCCACCTTCGCCCGCTATCGGAAAAATTCCACCGATATGCAACACATTGTCGGCGTCGTCTGGAGGTAACGAACCTCCGATCGCTTTCGTCAACGTTAAAAGTATAACGAGCCCTATCATCGCTTGATAGTCGCTTGTCAAATTTTGTCATTTATCCGTGACAGACAAACTTAAATTTCTTATACTTTCTGTCTGCCCTACGACACACCCCAACAGCACGACACCAAGTATCGCACTTTTCTTACGTGAATCACAGCCATCGTCGCTAATCGCTGAGAGTTTTCGAACGAGAATCACTACCTCATGGAATTTGACCGTCTGGGATTTTACGGGCGGTGAACGACGCACTGGAGGGGATGATCCGATATTCTTATTATCCCTATCGAAACGCGACATACGCGGCATTAAAACCGTGTCCTCGCGTTCTTCATCGCGTTCGCTCTCTCGATGCTTCCCTCATGCGCGACACTCCGTGAAATTTCGCGTACGAATGAATTTATTCGAATACGGAACGTTCGCGTGAGCTTCCTATTGATTTCATCCCGGCTTTCAAGGATCGTAGTGGGGATAGGATGGCTCTCTGGCCTAGGCTTCTTCTAGAAAATCAATATATAAACGATTTGACCTTACGGCCTGCACGGGACCGATACTCACGTCGGAAATTGAATTTTCGAATTTCTTGTGATTCTAACCCCTTTGCCGTGCAACTCGGTTTGTCACTGTGCAACCTGTAGTGAGGCAAGCCATTCGCGAAACGTTCTGCCGTACAGGGAAATTGCTTACCATTTGATCCGCACCATGAATCCGATTTGTGAGTTTCATATTCCGCCCGTAATCCGTACCACGAGTTTTATTCGTGATTTTCACGGTCAGCTTGGATTCCGTACCGAGTTTCATTCGTTTCTGTACGACAAGGAATTAGAAAGATTACCGATCGTTGTTCGTCGAAATGATTGCGGGAGATTTCGAATTGAAGTACGCATGTGACCGAATTGGTTCGGTCGGTAAAGTCGCATTAGCTAAAGGTACTGTTATGATTCTACCATGAGGTCCAAACAGCTCGTATCGTCGTGACGTTGAAGTTGATTTTCATCGAGATTTACGAAAGTTTGTTTGAAATTTGAAATAATGGCAGCTCAGCGTGCGTTGCCGCAAAGTAAAGAGGCTTTATTGAAATCGTACACAACGAGACTGAAAGAAGATGTAAAATCAATGTTGGAAAATTTCGAAGGTACACTACCTAACCTTACTTTCGAAACGATAAGTTATAAGAACAAGAAGATAGTTTCTTAAAAGAAGAAACTTACGTTGCACTGTCAAATATAATATATATTATATCATAGATTTTGCTAAACTGAGACGATTGATTTTATTTAGTATAGTAACAACTTAACCTACAATCTTTCCAAACTATGGGAGATATCAATTTATTTTTTTTTTGTTACTACACAGAAATCATAAAACTGGCGAAAGGAGAAAATGATTCCCAATTATCTCGGATGACACAATGCGAACAGGATACATATGAAATGCACGTCAGAGCTGCAAATATCGTTCGCGCAGGAGAATCTCTGATGAAGCTGGTTTCAGATATAAAGCAGTATCTCATACTCAACGATTTCCCCTCTGTAAATGAAGCTATAGCACAGAATAGCAAGTTATTTAGAACGAAACAAGCCGAGTGCGATCAAAAATTAGCATCTTTACGAGACGACATGGCTGCCGATTTATACGACTTGGAAGAGGAATATTACACATCGATATACAAATAATATAGACTTTAGACTTTTTTATGAACGTGCAATTGTGTGTCTGTCTGAATCGTGGATTAACTGAAATGTAATGTATTTGTTCAGTAAGTTGTATATATATTTATTTGAATAAATAAGAATAGTTTTGATAGTACATTCCTACTTTTTAATTGGGGGGGCCTGCACGAGACGCACGGAAAAAGATAGGCTTGATAATATGATAATTCGAGCGTACTTGTTTCATTTTATTACTTGAATACTTTAGTAACACACAGACAATACATCACACAATACTTCTAACTGGTAAGTATACTCAATAAGGTAATTGTGGATTCAAGCTTCGGATAATAATAACAATAGTAAGAATAATGAGAATAATCATAAGAAGAATAAGAATAATAAGAATGATTTTAGGATAATACTATTTCCTTTTTTTAATCCTTTACTTGAACGGCGGTGCCTTTCCATACTGTACAGCGATAATTTACAGAAATAATACGGAGTTCCCTCGACCGGAGTAGCGAGATTACATGGATACACAAAGTGATCGTTGGATACAAAAGTTTCGTTAGATACAAAAATTCGTGACAAAATTTGGAATGTTTTGTTCATTGTAATCTCGTTTTCACTCGTTACGTAGCAACTGTGAAAATACAAACTGAGCGGTCGACACACGGTACTGGTTCCTTAAAATATTCGGAAGCAATTATATGTCATTATTAGGGAAAATAACAAAAAATATCACAGTGTAAAATGCAACGCTGTGACACAGACCCATCAAGTATAGATCAAACGATAACGTGAAATCTGATGAAAAAAAGAAAGCGATTACGTCGCGAAGTACGCAAGAGCAATTGAAATATTAGCATTTACTAAATACAACGACGGAGATTGGTACACAGTTGTTATACTTTAGCGTATAAATGCATCATTATCGGCAATTATTATCGTATCGCACGTTTACCCTTGAATCAGTCCGCGATCACGCGATTAAATCTTAATCGAAAGTTAATCATACTGCCGCAATCACACTTCAAACATTTACGCGATCGAACATAACATTTTTAATTTCTCAACGTTCGTGTTATCACTTTGAACATAATACGGACAACAGAGAAGAAACAGAAAGAGTACACGAAATAAATCGATCTCAAAGTAATTTAATTGTTCCGTACATAAGCTTCACGAAACTTCGAGATCGATAATAATTTAATATGTACAAAATTTGATTCGCTTAAAATTAAAATTCATATTATTAACAAATGAATACTTTTTCCTCAATTTTTCGCATTGATTATTTTCTTCTTTTTTTGTTTGGTCCACGTCTAAATGTAAGAAACGAAAAATAAAACAAATTCAACAAAACAAATGTTGTACATGTATCTATCATCTTATCTTGAGCATTCGTAAGAGATATCAGTATGATTTAACATACACTTAATATAAATAACAAATTTCTCAGAATTTACAATTGCAATGTTATTCCTGGACCAAAATTTCGACTTATTGTACAGATATATTAAGTATATTAAGTAGACTTATATTCTACTTTGGCTAAACCTTTTACAAAAATCTAACTTCGAATCTTTCAATATTTCCTTTTTTGCAAACGATTCTTTTTCTCGCATTTAATCGTTTTTTTTTTCTTTCTTTTCTTAAAATCCTGCATAAAATTCTGGCCTTTGAGTGGCAGCTTGAACATTAAACGGCTCAGCATTAAAGTAATCTCAAAAAGGTTACAAAATGTTCAGTTCCATCGTCGACTTCTCTCCGTTTGTTATAAAAATGTGCCAAAAAGGTGATATGCTCCTTTTTGCCCCCTTTTTTTCTTTCTTTCGTTTTTCATCGATCACTGGGCTCCTCCGTTTAAAGTGCTATCAAAAAAAGAAAAGCACTGACATATCTTGGCAGTTTTAGTTACACGTTACTTAGGAAAAAAGTCTGTTCACTTCATTATCGTAATAATACAAAGTAAATGCATATACTTGGAATGATACTGTCTTTTCGCTTAATTATCTAAGAAAAGGACTGCCTCTGCTTCGACGCGTTCGCGAACGAACATTTACACTCTTTTGATTCGCATTTCATCGTATCGGAGAAAAAAGAAAAGAAGCATTGCACGCAGTTCTTACGACAGCGAACTGACGTAAGCAAGACTCGCACCGATCGTGAACGCGTCGCGTGATGCATTTCTCGAAAAGTTAGTTTGCTTATGTTCATACGGTGAGCAATCGTCACGTTTGGGCCGCTCGGTTCGGAGCGTTCAAAGAAACCACCCGACATTTTTCTCTTCTTTGTTCATAATACACTTCTTTACTGTAAAAGATTCTCTCTTTCTCGAGTCTGTCTACGAAAAGAAAGGGAAAGAAAAATACTTCACGATTAGTCTTCTGAGTAGTCGGAATTTTCCGATTCCTTGCTCTCCTCCAAGAGCTTTGAGCTTCCAGCGATTTCTCTCGCTTCACGCGTTTTCTTCTGGTCTTTGAGTTTTTCAGTCGCGTCAGTAGAGAAGATCGCCAGTTGTTTCGGAACCCCATGCGCCCGCATCTTGAGCCGGCTTCAGATAATCTACTTCGCTTTCGTTCTCTGCTTCGCTCGACGTGGTGGTCGTTGGTGTCGACGACGACGTTGACGTGGAGGTCGCCTGCGGGCTCGACGACATGGCTCTGGTCACGCCCAGCTCGAACCCTTCGGATGTCAGGTCCACCTTGCTAGGAGTGTAACTGGCTAGGCCACCACCACCACCTGCGGGGAATAAGCACTAGCTTTCAGCACACTACGCTGTGTAGGCGAATTGGACGAGAGAGAGAAAGAAAGAGAGGGAAAAAAGGAACATGTGCAACATATAAAGAGGCGAAAAGGACTAACGAATATATCTCGAAAGTAACAGCAACGAGCGAGACATGAAAAATTCTACTAAACGTATATAACGGAGGACTGTCGTCTAATATTGGTTGGTGTAGGACAAGTAAAGCGTTTCTAGAAACTATGAAAGTTAATTTATACTAGAGACTCTTTCACGGGGTCGACATTTAAAAGGAATTGCAATTCTCTGCAGCTGTTCACAGGGGATATAACATGGTGTACGAACGTCGCCTCTGGAAAAAATCGAAAACAACGAGACAAACAGTTAGTCGAGAAAACGATAGAGTGAATCTCTATCGTGAAAATATCAAGGGAAAAGGAGGTAAAATCCGACTGCAACGCAGGCTCGTGGTAACAGGAGTAAGTAACGATTAAAATTACCGAGTAAGGTCGGCATACTGGTCGTCGAATTGGCCGAGGACGTTTTATTGCTGATCAGAGTTGATTGCTCGACGGAACCGGAAGTTTCGCCATCCACGCTGCTGTCACCCTCCAGCATCGACGCTTCGCTCGGATATTCGAAGGTACGTGTAGCTGTGTCGTCAAATTGTATTCGATGCTGAAACAAGTCAGTAATAGAGTCAGTAATAGATTCGACAGCGTTAAATTAACAAACTAAATTAAACGGTCGCGTGAAAACGGGAAATGGATCGAGTTCAAACATCTGACAGCAGAATGATACATCAGTGGCACGCGACCATTGTGAATCGGACGGTTATATCACGAAAAAGAGGTTCGTGTTTTTTCGTACACTGCACGCAGCCGTGTACTGCCAGTTATAAATAAGACACGGAAAGAACAAACAACGGCATGCTAGCTGGGATAACAGTAACCCGTCACACTCGATGATTTTTCGACTGCGAGAGAGGACATCGCCTCCTCGTCGGCTTCTTGTCGACGGACGTGATCAAAAGAGAAAGCAATTCTTTTTCTAGAGAGTCGTTGGAGCTTATCGTTCCTTGTTCATCGTGTACCTGATATTTCGGTCCACGAGGGCCGCCTAACGTCTTCCCAGCAATTTCTCGGAAGAGAAATTCTCACCGATATTCTCTTTATTAAATTAAAAAAAAAAAAAAAAAAAAAAATAACGGAGAAAACCTTCTCTTTTCAACGTACACGTTCGGGTTATTTCATAGTTTCGCCTGCGACCGGAATGGTAGCGCACTTAGATCGCCAGAGCGAATAAATCCCTAGTCTTTCCGACTTGCCTAGCTGGTAACAGTACTTGCGATTATTTCAAGCAGAAGTTGACTACACGCTGGTTAACTATATCTACACGGTTTCCAGAGCCACGAAGAAACTATTTCGGTATAAACGAGACAGTGACATCCCCTGAGTCACAACAGTGGAGAATTCTCGTTCGTTGTTAAATAAACAAGAAATCTTTCATTTATATGTATGAATCACAAAACATGATTATTTGTCCGTTCTATATGTCTCAATCAGCATTCAATAGTGGATATATCTTGGAACAAATTGTCACGCGCATAGAACAAAGCATGCACGTGCTTCTTTCGAGTAGATCGTTTATGGATGAAAGAACATCCGATCGGTTCGGTTTGCAAGCCTTATGAGCAAATTTTTAACAATGTTCGGCGATGAACACTCGAATCGATCAAGGTCAGCGACGTTCAGATAATTACCTATAATTAATGGTACCAGTTAATTACGAATCGCCATCCGTCTCGGATCGGTGACAACGATCAGAACTTGCATTGTATAATCACCTATTTCCAGCCGGTATAGCAACAACCTATCGAGAGTCTCTTGTGCTTGTTGCTCGAGCACTTATCCGTTCATTCCGAAAGAAAATATCGTTCGAGTCTGAGCGCTTGTTTCCAGCCGCAGCTTTTTTCTTTTCCAATAACTTTAAACAATTTTTCAAACGAACGCGGAGAAAAGACTTTCCTCTTGGCGCGAAAATGGCATTTGGTCGATAAACAGAACAGGCGTACCATTTGACCAAATAGGCCGATATCGAGATGAAAAGTACCTTCCTCGACGTGTGTTTAAACGTGTTTCGAGTTTCAAATCGTTCCCTGAACCCGAGATGCATGGAAACCATCGGAGGCTCGCGCTCATTGGTCGCCGGTTTATTGATTTTTCACGAAGAAAATGACGAACTAAACTACCCTCGAAAGAGAGTGAACCTTTTGTGTCGCGCGCGTGCTTTCTCAACCATAAAATCAACCTCGCAGAGCACGCTGCCAGTGAATATATATCCGTTTAAACTTTGCACTCGTATACTCGTTAGCGAACGTTTACAAACAAAAATTCACGGACCGATCCGCGATGCTCTAAACGACTGTCTAAAAACATCTGATACTTTAATAAATATCCCAACGATGGTGCGCCAATTTCGAGAGATCGACACGAAAGATATAAATCGTTAAAATTGTCAAAAAGATAAATAGAAATCTCAACGATATCGTTTCGTTTTGCTTTGCATCTTTACGATCGTTAAAAAGAAAATGCATGCCTCGTTTCGAGATCGTGTTCACGTTCTTCTCTCGCAACAGGTCCAAAGGATCGCAAAGAATTTTTAATCTCGATGCCAATAACTCTGCGAAGGAATCGATCGTAGAAAAAGAAAAAAAAAAAAATACGTTGACAATGTGGCGGACATTGTTGCTTTCGACTAGTGCTGGTGAAACAATGCGCCTCTTATCGTCTTCGAGAAAGGAAACCGTTTATCGCGGCGGACAATAGAAAGAGGAAGCCGAGCCCGGACTTCTACGTATTACGCGTTACGTTTCACATTCAGCGTGCACTGCCTCTGAAACGTCGTCGCGTAACTTCGCAAACGGACAAGTACCAAAACCTCGTACCAAAATTTCATTTCAAATTCAGGCACGCGTGAAATTAGAACGGAGAGAACTATGCGAAATTGGAGAAGCTGTGATTCCGCGTAACAGACTATTCGACCAAATTTCACGGATGTCTCCAGTTAATCATCGGCAATACTTTCGGGAGATGAAGTTTAACTTGCGCTGACAACTGACTGCGGACCATAACGAGTGACCAAACCGTATACAATAATTCGTCGCTTTCTTTTTGAACTCGTCAGTATCACTGGATAGAAATTATTGAGAAGTAATAAATTTATTATTTGTTTTGCCTACTTAATTATACCTAGATATACTTAAAACTGCGGAAATATTGCAATTTCGGGATAAAAGAATTCTCGACGTGCGTGACACGTCATTCCAGCGAAAGAAGTTAACACCATTTGCGCTGACAACTGATTGCGGACCATAACGAGTGACCAAATACAATAATTCGTCGCTTTCTTTTTGAACTCGTCGGTATGATATCACTGAATAGAAATTATTGAGAAATAACAAATTTATTATTTGTTTTGCCTACTTAATTATACCTAAATATACTTAAAACTGAGGAAATATTGCAATTTCGGGACAAAAGAATTCTTGACGTGCGTGACACGTCATTCCAGCGGAAGAAGTTAACACCATTTGCGCTGTCAACTGATTGCGGACCATAACGAGTGACCAAATACAATAATTCGTCGCTTTCTTTTTGAACTCGTCGGTATGATATCACTGAATAGAAATTATTGAGAAATAACAAATTTATTATTTGTTTTGCCTACTTAATTATACCTAAATATACTTAAAACTGAGGAAATATTGCAATTTCGGGACAAAAGAATTCTCGACGTGCGTGACACGTCATTCCAGCGAAAGAAGTTAACACCATTTGCGCTGACAACTGATTGCGGACCATAACGAGTGACCAAACTGTATACAGTAATTCGTCGCTTTCTTTTTGAACTCGTCGGTATGATATCACTGAATAGAAATTATTGAGAAGTAACAAATTTATTATTTGTTTTGCCTACTTAATTATACCTAAATATACTTAAAACTGAGGAAATATTGCAATTTCGGGACAAAAGAATTCTCGACGTGCGTGACACGTCATTCCAGCGCAAGAAGTTAACAAGTTTAGAATGGGTGGAAGCACTGGATCTTAAGGGAGAAATGCAGAGACGTGTAAAGTTGAAACTTTATTCTGATCGTAAACCGGTAGAAAACGTAAAGGCGTCGAGGAATTTATGGCCGTGTTCTCGCGAACACTAGTGTATCTTCATCGCACGACTGCGTCAAATGGACGTATAAAGCTTGTTCCGGTGGTAAAAACTAGACACGTACGTATCCGTTATGACTAGCAAAATTCGTAATATTACTCGCACTGACAACATTAAACGGTTCACGAGGTACAGATTCGAGCGAATCGTTCTTCGATTCCCTGTTTAACCGTAGATCTCTCGTATCTCTCGTTGAATTGCTTGTGCAAACGCGAAACAAGTGCTCCGAAGATGTGGTTCCCAATAAAAATGAATATGGGATAAAAATATCACATTGATCAAAAGTAATTGCGTTTTTTGTTTGTGTGCGAATGAAAGGCGAATTTTTCATGAGAAAAATTTTATTAGGCAATATATTAGCCATTTTGTTCGATTACCTTTTGACACTTTTCAGAGAATTTTGTGATTCCGCGTTCAAAAACTTATCTAACAATAATTATAAAAAAAGCTTAACTAATTTAACTAACAATAATTATAAAAAAATTGTAAATACGAGCTGTTAGTTAGATTTAAGTACGATGTCCCCTTAGAAGTGACAGTCGAATGCAAAGGATTAAAAATCCAATAACGTAATTCCTTTAACTGTACTTACAAAAATATAAAACTGGCCACCTAATTATAACGATTCAGCAGCCATTCTAACAGTTATTTTATCCACGTACTGTCTCGTCAGTGTGAAAAGGATGAAATTTTGCAACGACCGACACCTATCGTTGACGAGATTTAAAGAACGAAGAAAGTCGAATCGAGCCAGCCTCGTGATTTACGTTGCTCGTGACAAACAATTACCGTGAACTTTTCGAAGATAACACCGGTATTCATTACCGGATCAGATGAGTCGTTTCAAATACCGTTACCGTACAAACAGTCCAACACACGGTCCCACGCACACGTTAGAAGCAAATTGTCCGCGTCTACGAGTGTTTACATTATTTTTTTCATTTGCATACGCGTCAGGCGACCTATTCAATGACGATGCACGTAGGATACATTCCTCGAGGAAGAAAGAAACTTACAAAGCTATATCGTATTTACAAGCAACACCGGCTGAATTTATTTGTGTACACGTAGGTCTTGGTAATGTTAGAAACGATTCCGTTGTTCCTTCGTACATCGAAGAGATGTTTGCGTTATTTTTGCCGCGAGTATAGAATTTCAGTTTTCACGAATCATCTTAACACATTGCGTACCGCACTCGGTGTACCTAACCTGCTCCCAGGGCCCGCAAATTTTTGGAACAACAAGGAGAAACTTTGTACAATGCATATATACACCTCTTTAATTCACATTGATAAAATATTCTTAAATACTACCATATATTTTTTTATAGTAATATTTAAGAATCTATTTATTATGTATTTTAGACTTTAACTATTATTTATTTTATATTTATATTAACACATTGAGGATGGTACACTCTGATAAACATACAGCCTATATTTTCTCGCATT